ATGCAACACACAACACCCCACCTCGCACGCAATAAGATTGGTAACACAGAACGTGCACAACATGCAACAAACACAGCCACACACACACACACAACACACATCACACACACACACACACTACACACACACACAGGACCGCAAACACACACACACACACGACACACACACAACACACAACACACACACACACACCACACCACACACACACACAACACACACACCACACACACACCACACCACGCACGCACGCAAATTGTAACACAGACGCACACATGCACACACACATACACACTCGCACGCACAAATTGTAACACAGACGTGCACACGAAGTCCTGCAAAACGCACAGCGGCACGCTCGCAATCATGCAAGTAGCCATTCCCATATTCACAGGTTGTTGTGCCTCGTGGTTAGAGCCATACACACTCGCTAATATAGTTCAATAACAAGCGAAATAAAAACTAGATTGCAAACATAGTGATCAATCCGCCTCTTGTCAGGCCTTATGTTAAGTACGAGTAAATCCTGCCGATGCTTGTTTCCTAATGAGCTTTATATGTTGCGTACCAGGCTTAGCTATACTAATTGTTTACCGACATGCATAGCTGAAATTTCGTTAAAATATAACATAATCGATTAAATCACCGCAGTGCCGACATTTGTCAAACACTGCGGAACAATTGCCCTATATTAATGAAACGTGACAGAATAAAGGGCAGCTAACACATAAACTGTCTAACAGAGATCTAAATATCTAACAGACATCTAAATATCTAACAGACATCTAAATAACAAAGCTGCATAAGCCCATATCAGGTAGTGTTAATTCTCAAAAAAATAATATCAGGAGCCTCGTAATATATGTATATATTATATAATCAGAGAGAGAGAGAAAGAGAGAGGAAGAGAGAGAGAGAGAGCAGAGAGAGGAGAGAGAGAGAGAGAGAGCAGAGAGAGAGAAAGAGAGAGAGAGGCCAAGAGAGCATGGCTCACCGCTTGCTTAGTGGGTTTCCATGGGATGGTCAGGTGGTTTCAATCGGAGTGGAGGCTCTCTTCCCAACGTACTTTCTCATCTGACTTCTCGATTCCCGGTGGTCGTGACCCTGCAGCGGTGACTTCTCGCAGTTTGCACTAAAATAGATAACAGCGAACTACGATAAATTACACCCAGCGATGAATCGCCGCGTTTTCCACTCGTGTCAGGTGAAGAGTGGACTAGGAGTGCACGATGCGAGCAAGCCAGTAATAAATGAGCGTGGGAGTGATGAGGAGAGAATCTGTGTGTACGCGCTGCTGTCGCATGAGCCCCGTCTGGCGGGCGTCATTTTAGTCGCCGCACATAAAAAATCAACCATCAATGACGATATTTACAACAATTTTCATCTCCTAATATGACTCGCCAGCGTCACGTAGCATAGAAAACTTTTAGGCAGCTACTTCCGCTACGACTACTTTATATTAACAAAGTATCATTATGACGTCACACTCGCATATGTGGCTGTCACGCGCTGAGAGTGATAATGTACTATATTTATCACATTTGCAAGAGGAATGGCAATTGTTACTACGCGTATTCAAAATATTTCTTAAGTAAATTGGTTTATCTCACAATGAAATAGCGTTGTTTTGGCGATTACAACGCAAATGTGTCGTACAATAAATAATTATCCATTTTAAATCTTCATTCCATATTATTTATTTGTTTATTTATTTATTTTTTTGTTATTTATTTATGATGTCTATCTGTGCAGGTAATCATTGACACATTATGGCACATCTGATCGTCATGTCATGTGCAGAGGGGTGATAACAGACGCTCTACCCAGGGGACCGACGCTAATAGCAAGCAATTAGGTAATTAAGACAAAATGCAGACACCACATCAGGATCTATGATATAAACTAGATTACCATGTTCCCGGAAACGGGCAACCGAGTTCGGGTTACAGACTATAGCTCTAGTTGGGAGAATGACGAAATAATAGAACAATACTTACATGGTCTGGTCGTTTTTTCGACCTAGTACCGTACGTATGTATGAGTATGTATAGCTAGAGTAATATGTAGTAACTGTAGTATGTAGTTATGTACTATGTAGTAATGTCGTATGTCAGTATGTAGTATTAGTATGTAGTATACTGTAGTATCGTAGTATGTAGGCATAGTGGGCTCATAGGGTCTATGTCCCCCAGGGTACTGCCGGAACGTACCTGGGTACGATCCGTATACCGGACGTAACGGCCTGGCACCTATTTGATATGGTTAGGGTTAGGATAGGTGTTATGGTTAGGGTTAGGGTTAGGGTTCGGTTTTGGTTAGGGAGAGGCGTAAGGCCCGAGACGACTCCCTAGAACCGTTATTGAGTAGGCGAGGTACGGTCCGGCATATTAGATAGTACCAGGGTACGTTCCGGCAGTACCCCGGGAGACATAGACCCTCTCAGCAGTAATAGTGGGCATTATGCGAACTGGTATGGTGGCTTGTTTTGAGTGTCTGGTATGGTGTAATTTGCAGAGACCCGGTATGGTGAATTGTTGGAATACGATTTTCAACAAAAAGTCGCATCCATAAAGGACATTTGCAACTAAAACGTACGATTAGAGAGGCGTGCTAATTCAGCAATCAGTCGGTAAAAACCTACAGAATTTAAAAGCTATCCATAAACTGTCTTCGACTAATGTGCTTCTAGGCACTGACGCTAGTCGATTATACAAAACCCGAAAACAATACATATCTGTGAGACATATTTCAGTCAACGTGACTCGTAACACACTCATCATATGTGAACTATATACTGAATGTATATTTTCACATCGCACATACCCGACTGTACGCTATGCCTATCTGCTGCCTAATAAACGTGTTTTGTTTCCCACGTACAGTTGACCGCAATGGCGCCCCCGCGACTCTACGCGAATAAACGCTAATTTACAAGCTTAATTATGTAGCAACAAGAGCTAATAATAATACCCTTGATCATGATTTCATTAGGTATTATTAGTTCTTGGGGTATAGTAGCACCAATATACAATTATAGAAAATTGTGGCTTCGCACGCAAGAGCTGTTAATCGTAACCGGAAATCGCACATTAGCCAGCGAACGTTCTCCGTTTTCATATGCGAGAGCATCGGTGCGCCGGAAATTGTGACCATTCGTTTCGGCCGCAGTCGTACAACGTTCGGGTACGTTATATCCGTGATTTTAATTACGTCGCGATGATTTGCCTATCCATCTGGCGTGATTCGCAGGCAGCAGAAGTACCATACAAACGCCAATCATTGTTACGTTTCAAAAGACATTTCTAAGCAACGAAGTGCCACAAAGTGGACAGTAAGTTTAACCCCGTCTATTTTGAGCCACCTAACAACAATATCAAGGGGGCGTGGTTATGTTAGTTATCACGCTCAGACGGATAGGGTCCATTTATACGATTGATCTTACCAGCGGTCCAATAACGACATCAAGCGAGGATTGAACTTCATGATGACAATATAGAAGACGTAGAGCAGCAGCAGCACGCACGCCTCCCACACCTCGAACGTCGTGTCCCACGCGAAGAAGATGAAGCAGATAATCGACAAAGCATAGAACATGGCGTCCCTGCACAGCGGCCGCCAATCCAAGTGCAACACCTGCGAGAGAAACAATGGGGGGGTGTAAACAAAACAGAAACACAGGTATGCAGCGCTAACGACGTCGGACTCTTTCGCCGATTAATCCGACACGTGTCACCGGCTGCGCGTATGCGTGCCGATAGTTGTCGCCAAATATTTGCGTACGTGTGTGCGAGCGCGGGGCTTCATTTCCGCGACGCCCGCCGAATATAATTGGGCGGCAGGCGAAAATCACGTTACTATGAGCAACATCGTCAGACGGTCGGCGGCGACGGAACCGGCTCGGAAGTAATTTACATCAGCCGTGCGTCGGTCACTATTTACGTCGTTGCCGTCGCTGTCCGTATATATATATA